CCTACAAAGCAGCCCCACACCCTAAACCCCTAAACCCCTAAACCCCTAAACCCCTAAACCCCAAACCCCTAAACCCCTAAAAGCTCTAAGCCCGATCCGAGGTTTTTTCACCGGGCCGATCATCGGCGCCATGCCGGGCACCCGGCGTCCCCCCTTGCGTGGAGACCCGAAACCTCGAATCTGAAGAAGGAAAAGGCTTGAGAGGTCCGGGTTGAGGTGTTAGGACTTTTGAAAAAATCCCAGAATTTTAGAGTTTAGGGAGCTTCGGACCCTATAAGGCAATGCGAGTTTTGGGTTGAGGGCTTGTCAGATATACTCAACCCTAAATTAAGCCCTAAACCATCATAGAATCATAGTCTAATGGTATGTTTTAAAACTTTGGATTTCGAGCCCGGAGACTCCGACAAAAGACCGGGACTGCTTCTCAAGGATCCTGTCGGCTTACAGGGCTTAGGGTTAGGTTTAGGGCCATATAGGGCACCTGCAGTCTGTGGATTTTTGGTGCCTGGTAGATATAGCCGGAAAAACTGTGATGAGAGGGTTTGGGGGGGGCCTGAACGGTGTGAAGGGCTCCCGTTTCGAGTGCCTGAGGCTCTAATAATATAGGGGCCTTACATAATGCTTACACATACTATTTCAGGGGTTCCTTTTATAACCCTAGTATAATATGCACCAAAACCTTAATTAGTCTATTTATTAAACCCCTTACATTCAGATTAACTTCAGGCCTTTCAGGGTTTAGAGGGTTTCTGACTTAGGGGCTTCAGGTTGCTTCACAGCTTCCGCCGAAGCTTCCAAGCTTCGGTGTAAAGGCTTGCGTTTAGGGTTTAGCGTTTCGGGGAATCAGAGCGTTTGTGTTCTTTTGCCTATGGTGAGGTCGTGAGTTAGGTAGGGATGAGGAGTCGCGTGCAGGAAAGTAAATGGTGGAAGCCTCCCCGAGCTATAAGTGAGGGCTTCATCGTCAGACTTGCCGACAGCTGTTAACCACATCGCATTTGCTGATATTGACCTGTTGTTCCTGGATCCCTTCAGCAGAATGTGTGTGTTAAGGAATACGGAGATGTCAGTGCTGATCGATAAGATTCATGGTGGAGCAGGTGGTTTTCACTTTGGCCCTGCTTTCGCTGGCAAAAATCACCTGAAACCTCGAGGTGTTGAACAATGGAACCATCCACTTTCGACCACAACCCCAAGGCTGGATGTCTAAATGAAAAAACACTACCAAACATAAGCATGAGCCCTACACACCTCTCTAGTTCATGAAGTCTTATACAATCTCATCAAGCAACCTAACCCTAAACCCTAAACCGAACACTAGGAACCCAAAACGGTCCTCTGGACAGTTCGGATGTTCCAAGGTCCGACCGGCTGACCTCCAAGTGGGGTCGCCGACGTCCGATCATCCTTGGAGGCAGCCGTGGTTAGGCTTTACAGTTTAGGGCTTAGTAAGGGCTTGGGGTGTAGGGGTTGGAGTTTAGGGCTTGGGGACTTAGGGTTTAGGGTTTAGGGCTTAGTAAGGGTTTGGAGACTTAGGGTTTGGGTTTAGGGCTTAGTAATGTCTGGGGGCTTTGGATGTAGGGTGTAGGGTTTAGGGCTCGGGACTTGTTCAGGGTAGTTTACCGTGGGGTTTCATATGGTTGTTAGGGCCTCGGCTCGGGAAGTGTTATGGGCATTTGTTTGTGCGACTGTCGGATGAACGCTACTTCTGGCATCGAATACAACGGTAGACCGAATTGTGAGACATTTCAGGTTTGCTTAGCTAAAGTGCCAGGCATGCTTTGAACGAAGCCAGAAAGATCCAGGGTGTAACGGTACCGTGTACCGGACGCAGCACAAGTTCAAGGCTTGGACTAGTTCTCAAGAGCCAGCAGGAGTCAGACACGCCAGAATAAGCAGCACCGTGGCAACTACTAGCAGTAGAAACATCAGCACTGAAGCGGTTTAGGTGCAGGTTACGTGCTTGTGGGTTTGGCTGTTTGGTTTGATTGCGCAGGCGTCTGGCTTAAATTAAACGGTGTAGGCTTGGTGTATACGATTGAGCTAACTGGATCCCGTCCTTGAACCTTTAGGTTCATCTTTGCTGTAACCCCTCGCCCATGTTATGTAAGCTTGAGGATTTACCAACCCTGCCTGAATCTCATCTTAGCAGGACTGATCTCAACCTGGATTGCGGCCATGCTGCCGCTCAGATGTGTGCATGTCTCTTCTTGACCAGGTTTATCCATGTGATTACTTTTTGTTTATATACCACTATACATATGTGGTGCAGGACTGTGTAGGATAGTGTGGCCATTCTGACAACATAACTTTATAGACAGAGAGAGAACACGGCTAGGTGCGCCTAAAGCTAGTAATTAGTTTGTTCTCGTGCAGAAGACCGACAACATGAAACACCTCCCTTGGCCTACAACCCAATAGCAGATGTAGATGCACAAGCACCATGGACCCTTGATGCCACCTCAGGGTCCATCCCGTTACGATAAACTTGGGCCTGAATGTAGTCCCTCTAGGCACTTCAGGGCCAAACTTAATATGCTGGCACATGGAGCCTTAAAGGAGCCCTTAAAGGAATCCTTAGGCGCAAAGATTCGCCTGTTTCTGTGTGTCGGGCTGTGCGATATAGAGCCAGAGGGCGCGAGGACTCGTTCGATCATCGCCTGTGCTCCTCAAAGCCCGCCTCTGTGAAATAAACCCTAACCTCTAAACCCTAAACCCTAAAACCCTAGGCCCTAACCCCTAAAACCCTAAACCCTATAGGGGCTTGAATTTTAGGATTTAGGGTTTAGGGTTGTTTCCGAGCTCTCGGCCGCAGGAACCACTTCGAAGGATGTCAAGAGCCCCTGGGGCCCTACTCCGAAAAGCCTCCGCCTCCAACGAACCGCTTAAACGAGAGGTGCAAGTTGAAAATAGCACAAAAATAACAACATGCAATATAGTTTCTACTGAAATATAACAAAATTATAGTGTAATATAGTATGATAGTTATACTACAATGAGAGATAATATAAGTAGTATACTATAACAGATTGTATTAGTAGGTCTCTTGGCGTTTCGGGTTTGGTTTAGGGCTTTGGGTTTGAGGTTTAGTGTTCAGGTATATTTAGGCAGGCGTCGTTCAGGGTTCAGGGACAGCAAGCGATTGTGGATTCGCAGGGTTTCAGGATTGGGCACCTCCGTTCCCAGGTTTACCTCCAGTGAGCATCTGTTTTCCTCAACGACAGCCAAGATGCTTGGCGACCGATGGCCCAAAGCCCCAAAGCCACTCAAGCCATCCGCACCACTGGCTTTGTCGATAGTGTTTGGAGAGATGAGTAAGAAGAGCATGTAGCGCGAACCCCACCTTAACGCCAAAGCTCGAACGTCTAGACTCCAAACCTACCCCCAAACTCAAACGCCCTGAAACCCCCAAGAAGCCTCAGGAGTGGGACGGCCTACTAGCAGCTTTAACCTGCTTAGGTTTCTAAACCCTAAGCCCGGAACCCCAAACCCTCAACCCTGATTGAGTTCAGGTGCCAGGACTGTCGGCAAGGGGTTTAGGGCTTTGGGTAGCGACTTTAGGGTCTTCAGGCGTTTAGTGTTTCAGGGTTTAAGGATTGAGGATTTAAAGGTTTAGGCTAGTTAAGGGATCATTTGCCCTGTAGTTGCTAGACGCTGACGGCTCTACAGCGTCTTCATATGCTCGAGAGACCAGGTAGTTGGGTTGGCGCTTGTACAGTTTTCATGAGTTACGGTAGGTTCCTTACTCGAAGCGGTCGTCAACCATTTGTAACGGTTCTTGCCGGCAAAACTCACCCTAAACCCTAAACCCTTTTTTAAAAGAAACCCAAACCCTGAACCCTAAACCTTGCTTTTGGTGTTCAGGCCCAGAGGCTGCGCGGCCGAATTTCAGAACTGATCCCTGCAAGCCTTACTTGTGGTTTGCAGGCTTTTAGGCTGTTCGGCCGAACACAAGAAGAGTCCCCTGAGAAGGAATCCCTGATTTTCGATACCCCCCCAACACGTAGTGTAAGCCCTCACACCCTTCACACTTGGAGGGTCATGGGACTTAGTAACTAGGCTTACAAGCCAAGTAGCTATACTTATTATAGTATACTTGTAATAAGTTTATAGGAATAACTTTTTACTAAGTCCTATGTTCCTCCAAGTAGAGGCCTCAACAGGATTCTAACAGCAACTCTACGGCTACTTCCTGCTCCGGCGACTTTCTGTGTTGTTGCCCCTTCGTCGGCTCGTCTGGATGGCAAAAACGAGGGGCCTGACTACAGACTGCAGTAGACCCTGGATCGTAGGTCCTGAAGCAAGGACATCATCATCATCATCGTCGTCGTCACCATGACGATGATAATTATGGTTAGGTTATGCATGAATATTTTTGCACAGTGTTAGTGTTATTTGTTCGGGTGGTCCTTATGTAAGCCCTCGTGGAGCCTTCCCCTTGGCTGAGGATCGGCTTCGCAGTTCCCATGTACTGGGTCATGGACGCACCTCCTCTTGGGAGCTGCTTCCGGGGGTTTTGAGGAGTGAGGGTTTCGGGCTGTGTTTAGGACTGTGGGGTGTAGGTCTTTTGGGACCGTTTTCTGAGTCTTGATAGCCTCAGGGGTTTGGGGTTTAGGATTGAGAACTTTCGGGTTTGGGGCTTTCGGATGTCAGAATGAGCTTTAGACATGCGAAAGGAGGCGAGTTAGGAGCGACATGGGGGGGGGTGATATGGCGACGAGGGAACAGGTGATAGTCAGAATGCCGAAGATGCGGAATGCTCTTTCGCCAGGAGGTGATGATGATGATGATGATGATGAGGGCAATGGTGATGATGGTGCTGCTGATGATGATGACGATGGTGATGCATCACCACCATCATCAGCAGCATGTTTGGCCCATAGGCAATAATCATCATGTTCTTGTACAAGTCGCGAAGGCTTGAACGTCATGTTTGGCAGTTTACTGTCCGGCTGGTGTGAGTGTCACGAGCAATCAATGGTTCTCGCTGCCCCCAGGTGACCATGAATGTTCTTCAGACACCTCACCGTGCTCTAGTCTCCGACCTGGCCACAGAGGAGCAGCAAGTACCAATGCAGGCAGAACGGTTTTCATACTTCGAGTTGGTAGAAAGCCGACCACTGCGTCTTCAAAGTTCAGCTATTTTCAGACAGGCCTTCTATCAGTTTTGATATCATGGAAGCTTTTCAAGCCATAGCTACTATTGGATGGGAAACTACCTAGGTCAGGAAGTTTCTTTTATGTGGCCATTTCGTGATGAGATGTATTTGTTTTTGCTTCCCTGTATCTTGATTAGTTCACACGATTCTGCATTATTTTGCCCTATTTTTATCTTGCATTTGGCACGAGGTGGCACTTATTCGCACGCTCTAGCACTTTGTGAGCGTTATTTTAGCATTATTTCAGCACTATGGCAGCACTATTTAGCACTGTTTGAGCATTATTTTGGCATGTGTGCAGCACTTTTTTAGCGCTAGTTTAAGACAAAAAGCCTTCCATTACATCTTTTCTAACTTCAAGGCTTTAGAGTTTACTGGATTGGGGCTTATAGTATAGGCTTTCGGCTTGAGGTTCAGGACGCGGAATCGGCAGGTGGTGTTCGTTGTGATTATGTCGATTGGAAACTTCCTCGGCTACTCCATCATGCAGTCACCTGGCTGAATTTGTGGGTTTTAAAGCTGTCGAGGCGCATCATGGGATTTCGACATGCAGGAAGGCCTACCTTGAGTTGGTCATAGCCGGATTACCGCCTCGCCACATTTGCGATAATCGCATGCGTCGCTGTTTCGTATTTCTAGCATCATGGCGGTTGCTCCCATTGCAGCTATCGCTGCAGACATTAGCCTGATAATGGGAATGCTCGTTCTGTGACATAAAGCGCTCCGCAAGACTCTCAACATTTCCGAGCTTGGAGGTGCAGGAGGAGGCTTCCCTGGCCTAGGTCCAGAACATTATTGCTGCACCTATCAATATGTTGGCTACCCTGTGTGCAGGCTAGCTATGCTAGCTATGATAATAAGAGAAAGCGGTATACCCAACCAGGCGGCTTCCTTTCCGGATCTACGGGTGCAAGGGGGTTAGTTCTGCACCCAGGGGATGTTGGCAATAGCTTCTGTGAGCCTTCCACGCGTGCCAGTAGCACCTGAATTCTTGAATTCTTGCTTTGCCCCAGAAAATGAGTCGATGCCAAGTGCAGATATTTCTGTCTGGTGTTGGCAGCCCCTGAACGATAGAGCCGGGATTCACCCATGCATCCTAAACCCCTAAACCCTGAAGCCGAATCACCCGGCTAAATCTTTATCTTCCCAAACTGCCAAATTGCGATCGGTGAGGATTTGGGCGTGAGCGTGATCGTCGGATTGACTATCGAAGAGATCCACTCAGATAGCCCTGTCTACCAGTACTTGTGCCAGTACTTGTTGTATGCTGAGCATATTGAGTACTGCTCCTGTTTGTTGCTATTCCTTCGACAGATTAGTTGTCATCAGAGGCTGCTTCCCAACTGAGGATCTACGACGTCCCTGTGGAGCACATGTTCACGCTCGTGCTGCCGATGGGCTGTGGTTGGTGAATGTCGGTTGCTGCAGATGTTTTGCTAAGATACTAGTCCTACAAACCCACATGGTCCTAGACTCTAGACCCCTCGCCTGGCCGCCGGCACGGGAAGCTACGCAGATCTCGCTTATCTCAAGCAGCCGAGGATGATTTGCAGCTTGAACACACTGTGCATTGCCATCCAGTTCTCAGTGGCCAAGGAGGCATGCCCCTGGAGAGGGTCCCGCACAGGTTCTCTTCTAGCGCCATCAGTACCGCCTAACATTCTCGTCCGACTGTTTTGCATAGGGATTTGTCATGCGCATGTATGTGGTAGGCCTCAATTTGCGTTCTACCTACAGTCTCCATTGTGGTTCCGTTTATTTTGTGGTTAGCCATCTTTATATTAAGGGTCCTAAACGGTAACCCCCCAATGCAGACTATCGGTCCTGAGGCCGAATCCATGAGTCTGAAGCGAAAGTTGTCCAAGAGAGTGCTTGACAAAAGCAGTTGACTTAGGGTTGAGGGTTTAGGGTTCATACCTGCGTCCACTCTCCCACAAACTCTACAGTTTCAGCGAAACTGAAACGAGATCGACACTTGAACAACTAAATTCGGTTGTACACTTCGGCTGTTTCTCATTCCTCCAAAATCAGGGGCATCTCCCCCATGAGAGGTTGGGTAACGATTGACAGGCAACGGCCACCGGCAGCACGCAGCACCGCAACAGTGAGTGCACCGCTAAATGCTAACCCCTTGACGGAAGCCGGGTTCCTAAACTCAATTATTGAAAAAAACATGCCAGCTGCTGCAACCTGACTTGCCATGAGTCTCTTCAACTCCATGAGCACGAGGTGCCTCTGAAGAAGGTCGAGGGCGAGAAGGGAGGCTGCTGCGCTCCCGCTTCAAAGCCGCAAGCGCTTTCAGAGCTTTCAGTGGCAACCTACAAGGATGCTATCACGATGATGTCGCAGAAATATGCTTGAGGTAGACTTTCAACACATGCATTACAACAACAATGTAATGATAAGCAACGTCTAGCATTTGGCGGACGTCCATAGCAAAGTATCAGGCAACTTCTGCTTTCTGGCGGACAACATAGCAGTAGGCGAGCAACGTCATTATGCTGCTGAGGGTGATCGTAAGAGCGATTGCCGTCGCGATCATCTAAGTCACTCGGCCAGCTGACCCTGCCCGAGCAAGTCAAGCTCTCCTTGCCATACATGGAAATCAGGGCCCCTTTAGGGTCATTTTTACAAGGGTGCCGTACTATTTTGGGGACAGAAAAGGGACCCTAATTTGGGAAACTACCCACATGCACTAAGCCCAGTCTTTCGTGTACTTTTTATAACTGTGCTGCAATATACCCCATAGCCCTCTTCTAGTTATTAAGGCTTAAGGCCCCTACAGTGGGGTCGATCGCTCCGGAGGGGGATTGTGGAGGTCTAACAAAGGGCTCCAGGGGCCCACTCGTGGAGAATGTAAATTGGAAACCTAAGCTAAATCCGAAACCTTAAGGGTCCAAAGGACCTAATAATTGGGTACTTGGGTTTAGGATAGCAGTTTTGTAGGTTAGTATTTGGGAGAGTATATGAGTCTTAGGTCCTTGGAAACATCACCAGGCCCGAACCCTGAACCCTAAAACCGAAGCCAAGAAGCGGAAAGCAAGCTATGCCTTTGCAGGTTATGAACATCCTAGCGTCGATCCGAGGCCAATACTGAAATGGGAAGTTATGCGTGGGCTGGGTTCATGTTCGTGATTCTTTGAATGTATACACGTTAGAATATGGGTGAGTGTACATTGCGGCTTATACATGTAATGCGTCGTGATAGTTAAACACCCTTCATCAGACGTGCTGGGGATGCAAAGCTCCCCCAGAGATTTCTTTGAGACAGATGATGATTCGATGCCATAATCACGGCAAGGCTGAACCCTCAGTTAGATCGCTGACCCAGAGGGTCCATATATGCATCATAGATACTATTGTTGTGGAATTGGGTCCAGAAAGACCATCCTTATTATGGTTTTGGGGACCCACTATTATGGACCCTCTAGGTGAGCGTTACGCTACACCCGTAACCCGGAAAGGTAGCTCCTTTCCGGAATGACTTAAATCTAGGTCTGTCAGCCAGTGGGCCCTTTTGCCCATTTTGTCGTCTCAGTGTCCGTACAAAACTACTCAATACCGAAAAGGGAGCCCTTTCTCTTCCCAGGTTCGTGGAGATCGTAGACAAACACTAAACCATAAACCCTACACCCCTTATACCCGGTACCCCGAAACCCCTTCACCCTAAAAGAAATTCTCCCTAAAGGCATGCCCTCTTTGCTCTACCACTTGGCCTTTGTTCAGTGCCTCGTGTGGAGCCATGGCAGGCAAGGAAAGCTATGTTTCTGATGGTCTAAGTCTAATACCGGGGCCTCAATAATTAAGACAGGGTTTTGGGGTAGACTATCGCGTCACTATGTATGAACTAAAATTCTTATGGTTATATCACGGTTTAGGTTTTAGGCTTTGCGGTTTGCGGCTTATGGATTTTCGCGTTTATGGCAGCCGAAAATCCCAGTAACCCGGGTCTACAGAAAACCCTTCAATCTAGGACATTTTCAGATGGGTAGTTTCCGTTATAGGAGACTTATAGAAGGCCTATCTATCTATATATATATATACATACACACACACACACACCTTATAGAAGCCTTTTTGGAGCCCTATATACCCTAAACTTTAATTCAACCTCTGGAGCCGCCCAGGATCGGAAACACAGCCTGGCAGTACTACTCCGAACAGTGGTTCGCGATCTCTGTCTACCAAGGCAGCTCTTTAGGCGTTCGGGGATTCAGAGGCTGGCTTTTAGGGCATAGCGGTTTAGGGAGTAGGATACGGGATTCTGGCGGTTTAGGGAGTTCTGGAGCGCAAGGTTAACGGCGGAAGCTGCGAATGGACCTCAGGCACTCTCAGAGGGTGTCTTTCATGCGCTTCCCCAAGAACGCTTCAAGCATGTACCACGACATTCCCTCTCTACTTGAGCTTTCTGTCTGTTGAAGTGCCAACCCTGACTTTGAGAATGCAGGATGATCCTTGCATGGCGTTGTGTACGCCTTTCTTAGTCTTGCCACTGCTTGAACTGCAAGCTGCTTCTAGAGATGACTCTTCAGGACAGTTAAACCACGTTGAGCCACAAGTGATTCACTACGAGTGTCCTTACGGGTAAGACTGCGAACCCATTGCCACAGCTTGAGTCCTGAATCCTCTCCAAACCCCGAGCTCTCGTTCTCTAAAATGCAAGTCCAACGTTCGCACGCGTAAACTCTAACCATTCCGAAGCCCCAAACACTCACAAAGGTCCAGAACCACTGACTCCAGCGCCCGGCACTGTCCCCCTCGCCTTGAAGACTTTAGGGTTTTAGGGCTTTAGGGTTTTGGGGTTTAGGGGTTTAGGATTTAGGGTCTCGGGTTTAGGGTTTATAGGGTCAAGAGTCCAACTTTGACAACCGCGTTTGACGCCACGAGCGCTCCGGTTTAGCCTCGCTTCTGATTCTGTCGGCGCTCTTTGCGCGCTGCAAGTGTCGAATCATTATGTCCCTGAGCGACACAACCGAGAATCTCAGACCTCTGCAACCAAACCCGTAAACCCCACGAAAGCCCAGGAACTCTTGAACTCTACAAACCTTACAGGCCCTAGAGACATATAACCCTTCCACCTTACGCCCTAAACACAAATTCCTACTCTCACTCCCAAACCGCCTAAACCCCTAAACCCCTAAACCCAAAACCCTACGTTACATCGCAGGGGATCAGCACGCACCGGCTGGATCGGAAGCGAAGCTGAACTACGGACGAGGCCAGGGATCACCAGCAGAGGCTGCACTACGGCTTTGGATGCCAAAGTCCATTCAGAGTATATAGTAGCTGGAGGAAGCTAAAACCCTCTACCATTCGGTTACTTAAACTCTCAAACATACTTTATAGAGCCCAAGGTTTAGGGCTTAGGGTTTAGCGTTCAGGGTCAACTTAATTTTTGGGGTTGGGCTAGATTTTACCATAGTATAATCCACGAAATCCGGTTATTGCAGGGCTCAAATAAAGCGATGAAGCACAGGACCCTAAACTCCACACCCCAACTCTACAACCTATAAGCCCTGAACCACAAACCCCATCCCTACACTTTAACTCAAGCCTAGGAACCCTAAGCCGAAACCCCAAACCCTGCCCTACATCATAAACCCTAGCCGAAACCGGAACCCTAAGCCCCTAAGCCCTAGTATAAGCCCTCAACCGATTATAAGCCCTAAACCCTAGTATAAGCCCTAAACCCTATTATGAACCCTCAACCCTGTTACACCCTGGGGGCCCAGAGAGCTGAAGGTTTGCATAGACCCTGGGTCTTTTGATTCCTTGAAGCGTTCGGTTTAAGGGGGGGTTCTTTGAAGTGCTCTTATGAAGAGTTCATTGAAGCGTTCCCCTGAAGGCCTGATAGAGGTTTAGATGTCTGGGGTTTGGGGTTTAGGATGCGTGTTTGTTCATTGGGTTCGATATGGATTCCTCTACAGGATTTATGGGATGCTACTGGAAGTTTATGGGATTTATGTACAATTTCTTCCTCGGTGCCTACATACCTATGCCTTCCATTTCAGTTTGTTTACGTATGTGGGTGCAATGGTCCGTCAGATGTTGAGTCTGTTTGCTTCTTTTCTCTGACGGGCCTTTGGCCCCTAAACCCTAAAACCTAAACCTAGATTGTATTGCCGTTGATGAGCCCATGGCCGCTCAGGTCGTCCGGGTACCAAATTTAAGGCGCCAGCTACACAAAAACATCAAGAGCATACCGCCCATCTATACAATTCAAGGCCACCAAGACTTAGGGTATTTATAGCGTTTCGGGCCGTGTAGGGTCTTTGCTTTTGGTTCAGAGTCCAAGATGCTACATCAACCCTAAAACAGACGCAGGCCCCAAACCCGAAACTGCCTTTCTACCGGAATGTAAGGCAATTGAGTCCTCAGGCGTCCAGGCCTTCTCTGAGGGAGGGCAGATGCGCTCCGGCTTTCAGCTGCTGGCCGCCTTGGGGTGCCTCGCCGGAACCCCTCATTTGGATAGGGTTTGCAGGGTTTAGGTGTTCTATGAGGCCTAAGGGCTTACTAGAGCGGCTTATGGGATTAGCTTAGGCCTCCGTGTAGGGGCCTTCTACAAAGGTTTTGGGGTTTAGGGTTTAGGGTTTTGCCGGCTGATCGTCGGCGGGCATTCCAACTCGCATTTTTGGGACCAGTGACCAGGAGTCCGGCATCTGCACAGTGAAGGCGCGCGGTAGGCTTTGAGTGTTTGTTGCCCCAGGGTTCTGGTGCATATTATACCATGATCACAAAGGGACAAGGACGGGAAAACTGTTACCAATTATCACGGAACCCTGAACTCTGAACCCTATAAGCCCTAAACCCTATAACCCTAAACCCCAAACCAAGTATCACTGAGCCCTAAACCCTAAACTACGGGTCTATCCTCGAGCTTTGCGGGTGTGGGGAGCCTATAGAGCTCTCGCCCCTTTTAGGGTTTATGGGTCTTAGTGGGTTTTTTCATGATCCCAGCCTTCTCCCAGGACTATTTGCAGCTTTCTGATCGTCGCTGGTAACATCTATTTTCCATGGGTCAGGGATCCAGATTAATCAGTTCAGACCCTAAACTCCTACAGCCAAAACCAATGCCATAAACCACTGCACCTACTTATCCAAGTACCTGCCTGCCTGCCTGCCTGCCTGCCTGCCTGCCTGCCTGCCTGCTTACATCCCTACCTACCTCGTGTGGACCTCGTTTTCGTCCTCGCTGTCGTCGTCGGTGGTGGTCATGGTTGTAGTTGTTGTGGCTGCTGCGGCTGCTGCTGCTGCTGCTGCAACCACGCTGCTGGTGCTGCTGTTGCTTGTGATGGTTGCGCTCATGACTGGGCCGCATAATAGTGCCCAGATTCAAAGTACAGAAGCACGGTAGTGAACACATAACCTATCGATCACCAACCCAACTTGCTACGGTTGCCGTACTGCCCTGCTTTGTACTAGGGTCGTTGCCGCTCGCTCGCTCTCTCTCTCTCTCTTCTCTGTCTCTTTCTCTCTTGTCATGAGTAGTGTTTGCTACACTGCAGCCGTACACCTGAACCGTCCTTGGCGAAGGCCACTAACCATCTGTGGCCTGCTGTGCTGTTGTGGCTTTGCTGTTGCTGGTCGCATCGTAACTTACTGTGAGTCCCATTGTTGTCTCCTGTTATCATGTTTCTTATTGAAAAGTTCATCAAAAGTTGTGTTTAATTGGTATCATTCTCGTTCTTCTTGCTGCTGCTGCTGTTTAGCTAATGCTTTGATGAAGACCCGGCTGCATCCGCAATGAGGATCATCGCGCTGCTGCTTGGTACACGACTGCGCCCACGCTTGATGTACGCTCCGTGCGCTTTGGACGTCTTTCAGATTCAGCTCGAGAGAACCGGGTGGAGGAAGTCGGAGTTTTAGGCTTGAGGCTTTTGGGGACGGTTTAGGGTTTAGGGAATTACGGTGCTGACACAGCTGAGGCTTCAGAGGGAGTTGGTTTCCAGTTTAGGGCCGGGTGCTGCCTGAGGTTTCTCAACCGCAGCAAACAGTTATTTCGCAGTATCCGTTCATGAGTGGCTTGTGAATCGGTGCCATGATTCTCATTGCCATTCATTGTTGTGTTTAAGTTCGAAGTTTGAACAGGCTCTCCCAAACAGGCATTTACGTCGGCGCTGTGGTTAGCTTCCTCGCTGGCTACGTCGTCGGCCACAATGTCACATTTGCCTCCCGGACTCATTCAGCAGGTGTAGGGCTTTGCATACAGTGCTGAAGCCTGTGGTATTCCCGGGCCTGTTGCCAAACCCGCAGGCGCCCCTCAACCTAAACCTTCAATCAACTCACCGAAGAAGCAAGCCTGGACCTTAAACTCCTAAACCCTAAACCCTTTAAGCCCATCTGCCCACTATTTCCACGCGATGCCCTTCTAGCATGCCCGTGGCTAACCACTCTGCTCTAAATCCGCTCCGCATCAAACCCTTTATCAAACCGTATACAGAAACCCCAAGTAGGACTCTTATCATACTCTCATAGAGCCCGAGTAAAGCCCGTTTAGAAAACTGGAAAGAACCCTTCAGCAAGGCCATCTTGGTTTTCGTGACGTCGATCATGCCAGAGACCGGCTCCTTCGCGATCCCCTTCGGGCCCCTGGGTCCTGAACCTACTATAGACCATAGAAGCCTGAATCATACTGCCAGTCTTCTTCCTTAGCCTTAACCTTCATATCATGAATGCATGCCATGTTATAGTGCGACAATATTCCCCATAAGCCCTATTCTAATCATTACGGTCCCTGTATTCTCTGAGCAGGTTCGATTTGTTCAGGGCCCTTGGATTTGGATAGGGCTTCGGCTTCGGAAAGAGGGTCAAGAGGGCGCACTTTGTGCGGATCCCCCAACCTCAGACCTTATACACCCGAAAGCATGGAATCCAAAACCCTCAAACCCTAAAGCCCTAAAACCCCGAACCCTGCGTGAATCTCAAGCTCGTCTCTTTGAGCTTTAGGCAGCCGGGTTGGCACTGGTCTGAGGGTTTTTTTCGGGGGTGGCGAAGGTACCCACGGTCTAGGGTTTAGGTTTTAGGGTTTCCGTGTGTAGCCCTAAGGAGCCTTAACCATATTTTGCTGGCTGTCTGTAAGCTCACCATATGAGCCCGATATGAATATATTGTTGGAATCCTGTTTGACAGTAGGTTATGGTAGATGAGGTCGGATTTGTCGTTGAAAGTGCATGGCTTGAGGTATAAGTTTTAGAACTCTTGGGCTTTGGAAAGCCTCCGTTCTACGCCGCGTTGCTTTCGGGGGTCTGTCTGCGAATGTTTCTCCTTCCTGAACTAGAGGTTTTGCTTGTGGTGTTGGAACTCTACGCGTGTCTCTTCGCGGCGCTGTTGCAGTCACATATGCACGTATGTACCCATGCATGCATATTGCTGTATTCATGCATGCACGCAGATACGCGCCCACCTGCGCTTGACACATATGAATCATATGACCGCAGATGCATGCACGCATGTAAAACAGATGTGCTTCTATGTACATTTGTTCATACCACAGAGAAGGTGGGATTGCAGAAGTTCTGGGACGAGATGTCGTGCTCAGCTCGATGTGCTTTACTTTACTTGGTCTCAGAGCTCCGGGTTTAGGAAGGGGAGTACGGTTGCCATATCTACTGATTGGGCTTTAGATCAAGGCTTGGGATTGAGAGCCTCGTAAATCTCAATACGAACCATGATCCGTGCACTATAGGCGGGGACTGAGGGGCTTGGAACTTGGGTCGCAAGTGTCCCAACTCTGGCTACTGCCAGACTCGCGCCACCCTTTAAAACCCGAAGCGCGAAACCCCAGAACCTCATGAACCCGACACCGAACACCTACTACGCAAAGCCTCGACTATAGGCTGGTGGCAACGCTGAGCAAGCGTGCAGAGCAGGAGGGCAAGCAAGCGGCTTGACTTATGGATTGGTGTTGACGTAAGCCAAAGCCAGTGCTATGATGCATTATCCCAAAGAGTGCAAGTATCATTATATTTAGTAAACTCTTAGTCGACTTTGGGGCCTCAAAAAGCATATGCGATACTGTTACCTGGACCCTTTGGGTATGGCGAATGGCGGATTAATGCAGGGAGTTGGTGATTAGGGTCTCTTGGGATTCGGGGTAAAGCTCTGTGGCATGTGGGAGAGCTTGATGACGAAGTAGGGAGAAGCCATGGTTCAATACGGGGATCATCTAGCGGCCTCTACACCAGGTAGGACTTAAGGATGATCCTCCTTACGTGTCGAGGTCCGGGCCCTGAACCTTATAAGGCCTTCCCCTTTTCAGCGCCTGGGGAGATTGATTTGTGAGCTCAGAGTTGCTTAAGTGAGCCGTAAACCTCAAACCCTTCTGGTTTGAGGATTCGGTCTTTGGGAACAGGACCTCCCCTCTCCCCATACCCCGGAAACCCGAACCTCTAAAGCCTGCATCCCGAACCTTTAAACCCCTAACCCCTACCGCCTAAACCCTACCCCAAACCCGAAACCCCTAAGCATTTAGGGATTTGGGCTATCATCGAAGCTGAGACTCTGAGAATGGTGGGGCTCAGGACGAATGGTGGCTTGCGGTTTGGTCGGATTTTGTATGGTCATGTGCTTAGGGTTAGGGCGTGGATGCACTTTACAGCTCGGGCTTGAGGTTATTTTGGTCTAGGCTACATGAGAAACTCCTCTAAACCCATATAAGGTGTAAACCCCTGAACCGTTTTGCGAAGGTGAGCACGGCCTTGCAGATGGCTTTGTTGAACTGCTGCGTGACCGTTGGCCAGCAGGTTTGCCACATGGCATCTCGGCTGCATCAGGGTTTAGGGTTTAGGGCCTTCGGTTTAGGCTTAGCGTTTAACCAGGGTTTGCGGTGCCCCTGACCCAAACCGACAGTCTTTAAAGTAGAAGCTAGAAAACTGCATCTTCATAATTTTCAAGCAAAGGAATGCCAGCCCTTATCCCCCTGAGAACGAGGCACCGAGGGGTTTAAGAAACCTAGGGTACCCAATCTTGGGGGTCCTGAAAATGAGGAGCCTGTGAATTGGGGTTCTGTTGAGGGTCCCCTGAACTCTGAAGCTTCCAGTTCTTGCTGGTGGGATCAATATGGTGGCGCTGCAGAGAGTCCCAGCCAACATCACAGAATGTTCAAGGGCTCAAGACCACGAGGGTCCTTGCAGGACCTTCAAAAGACCCTTGAAAGCAAAATCGCAGATGAATCTCGAACCTCTCAGATCTCGCTTACCCATCCAGCCACAACATCTACTACTTCTACGACCTTCTACTACGACGACTTAGTACGACATACCACGACTTGCGACAAACGACGACTACTGCTGTTACCTCTGCTACTGCTACTACTGCTGCTACTACACCACCACCACTAGTAGCGTCACCGTGGTCATCTTCATGATCATTCCTGCCATCCTCATCATTGTAGCCCTCTCACGTTATCATAATGCGTTCGTTGTTTTCCTCGCGCGCGAAACTTGTCATATTTATTACAATTTTCTACTCGTGAATGTCTCGCCATCACGATGAGGTGCTGGCCATTATCGAGCAGCACTTGCCTTTGACGGCAGCCCTCCCTTGTGTTTTCCTGTTCGCGGGTGTGGCAGCTCGGCGCAGGATGCCTGTAAGACGGCGTATAAGGCATGGAGGGGATGCGAATGGGTCTAAGACATACATGGGATATGTGCTTGGGTGCGGAGTTTCTCAGGAGTCAGGGATGCCCTTGGGTTTTCGATGCGAATACAGGGGCGAGGCGTCCGGGGAATGCGAGAGTGTGCGGGTGAATGGTGGAGCCCGTGCTGTGGTCTTGAGAAGTAGTTCAAACGCTGCGGGCTGAAAGTAATGATTTCATCAATCGCGATGCTACAGCCCTATAAACCCAAAAATCCTAACCCTAGATTTGTTAGTTACTGCAATTCGACAAGCCGCTCTTCAGGATCAGATCATGAGATCTGTTGGGCGTCCCCTCTTGTGCACGTGAGTTCATGATCGCAGAGGGACTATATGGGGGTTTCCGAAAATAGTTGACCCTAATATAGTACCCTAGTAAGATCCTTATTTTCAGGACCCCAGAATAAGGTACCCTACTTTTCGGAAAGTCTCATATTCGCTTGCAGCAGGGGATTCCTCCAGATTGCTTGGCTCTTCAGGCCCGTCCTAGCGATCAACCAGGATTTTTGAGGCTGATACGCGCCCAGAAAGGACGCAAGTATCTCTTGAGATATCTCTACCTTGCTGTGCTCAATCGGAAAGGGACTTATGTGAGATTATTTCTATCCTCGTAGATGCTGTTGTGCTTTTGGGACACTAGCTGAGGCGACAGAGCGCTTGCTGCCGTGTTGCTGCTAGTTTTGGTAAGTACATGGATGTCGATTCTGCCAGGGATGTTGCAGAGTGGTAGCAATCCCGAGAAGGCTCGCCCCTAAGCAATACAATGCTGAAAGCGCCAAAAAGAACGGCGGCGGAAACCCTAAACCCCCGAACCCTAACTCCCCAAACCCTAATGAACCCTAACTCCCCAAACCCTAGTCTCAAAACGTCAATCTATGCATTTAGCCGTTGACAGCCGGAAGCCCCTAAGGCCTACACCCTCGCTGGGTCTTCGGCCCTTTGCCTGGACGACAAGCCGCCGAGTGAGGCCGCAGACCTATGATTCGCCTCCCTTCTAGCTCCCTTATTTGTGCTTAATCCCATGGGTTTTGTTCAGGACCCTAAAGACCTATTATTAGCCTCCCTTCTGGTTCCCTTTCTTGTGTTTATCCCATGCTTTATGGTTTATCCCATGCTTTATGAAGGATCCTAAAGGGTACCCCCAAGGAGGGAACTACAATAGAGACTAGAGACACATCGCTTAAGCCGGAAACAGACTTTATGCCCGCCAGAAGTCCCAACCTCTGAGCCCTAAGCCTTGAAGCAGTGGCATTCATGGTTTCTTGTTCACCGGCGATTGCAATACCCCATTTTTCAGGGTTTGAGGTTTTCGGGTGCAGGGCCATAGTCTCATTTGGTCCTTGCGTCGTTTGGGCGGGATGGGAGGAAGTGGCCAGGAGTTTGAAGCCTGAGCCCAAGCCTGCTCAGCCTAAGCACTAGACGAAGCCCTAAACTTCCTAAAACCACTAAACATCCCTAAATCATCCGTAAGCGGCTCTAAGCCCTAAACCCTAAATTCTGAACGGCCCTAAATCCTAAACCCTAAGTCTTATAAACCCTAAACCCTGAAGGGCCCTACACCCTAAGGCGCTCTGAACTCTGGGACCTTCCAGCAAAGAATATTAGGGTATGAGGGTTTAGGGTATTAGGGTATGAGGGTATTAGGGTATTAGGGTATGAGGGTATTAGGGTTGAGGGTATTGGGGTATTAGGGTTTAAGGTATTCGGGTTTCGAATCCCCCGGACACCACTGGCCAGAAAAGCCGAAACCCCCGAGCCTGAGATCCGAACCACCCGGGGCCCCCGCCCTTTGAGAGCCGAAACTTTTAGGGCGTTTCGGGGTTCAGGGATTGGGGTCTAGGATTTGGGGATTAGGGTTTAGGGATTAGGGCGTTGGGGAGTAGGGAATTAGGAATTCGGGTTTAGGATTTGGGGATAAGGGTTTAGGGATTAGGGTTTAGGATTTGGGGATAAGGGTTTAGGGATTACAGAGAGGTTTAGGCACAAAAAGTGCCCATTGAGTCCACAATGTGCAGAGCAAGTTGGAATTCCAGACAAGGCGGGGGTCTAATTTAAGGTGGGGCCCCTATGAGCATGTAGTCGGAACCTAGGTTTCTGATACCCCGAATCGCCCACAGTTATAAGGGCTACTATACCGACTGGTAACATAATTAGATGTATTGTCCCTTACAGTCCCTACGCCTGTAATGATCTACCCCCAGAGCCCTCTAATGAAAGCCCATGTGTGACTATATAGGATAAGAAAGTACTACACGGGTAACTAGAAGGTTGCTATACAGGCAGGGACTATCAGGTTACCACAGGGGGGTACTTCCAACTTACTTTGGGGGTATCAAGAGCCCTAAACCCCAAACCCCCGTACCCTACGCCCTAAGCCCTGGACCCGAAGTCTCGAAGCCCCATACCCTGAACCCGTTACACGAAACTCTAGACCCTTCGTTACTCCGAATCGAGCCTGAACTCGAGGACTCGAGCGAGTGGTCCAGCACCGAGGAGTCCGGTTCGGCTGCTCGGCTCCTGTTTCGGTCGGGGAGATTTCGGTCCTATAGGTCTAGGGGTTGAGGCATTGGGGGGGGGGGGGGGGCGTTTGAGGGTTTTCGAGGGTGGCCATGGTCCTGGTCGCGGTCATCATGGTGTTGATGTTGAAACCCCAGGCCGATACCAAACCATTAACGAACCCGTCCACGCTTGACATTGCCATCGGGATCGGTGATGCTGCTCGCACTTTTCGTCACAACAGCTTGTTGATCTATTTAACAATAGGGCTTTGGGGTATATCATAGTATAGCTATAATAATACAGAACCCCGCCCAAAATATTATGGGTAATTTTTTTAGGCCCCTACATTACTGCACTTCGTGGTGCTGGCCCCGGCCTTCGTGCACATGTCATCGTCGATCTCGCAGTGAGACTGAGAGCAACGAGCCTACGAATCTAATCCAACGATCTCTCTGGCTCCAAACCCTCGAAGGTCTCAGTACACAGTGCTCTTAATATACAAGTTTACACAAGTCGTGAATTATCATGATGCCGTGCTATTGGGTGAAAACACGGGCAATGTTGCTGACTCCTCGTTTAGGGTGTGATTGTATGTCTTTCGTTGTGGTGCGATCGCATACGCGTATGCGCATCGTGAGCCAGACCTCGTCGCACAACCAGCCACACTGTAGGCCTAGGGGCAGCTACCGATGGGAGACTCCTCAGGCACTAGGTTGCAAGTGGAGTCGTACGAACCTAATCGTTCGTGATCATACTCATAACCTGCTTTCTACGTTCAAGCACATTACATCCGTAGCACTAGAGTAGCCAGAGACTAAGTCCCTAATCAACAACGGAAGTCAAAGCCCCTCATAGCCGTAGGTTCCAGTAGCAAAACGACGACAAACTTCAAGGCCCTCTCTACGATGGACTAAACAGGCCCAAACCCCTAAACCCTGAACCCCTAAACGCCTAAACCCTAAACCCTACACCCCTGAACTCTAAACCCCTACACCCTAAGCCTCTAAACCCTATACCGTATAGATCCCAAACCCCTGTGAGCCTGAGTAAGGACTGAGCCCGTTGCCTTCTCCGGATGTCTTCATGGCACTGCTCCGACCTTATCCCGTGAATCCCGAGACCCACACCCACACCTGAAGCCCTAAACCCTAAACCCGAATCCATACCTCTTCGCCTGCAGAGGAAAAACCTACGCGGAAGCAATGTGCGTGCATACCTAAGCCCTACATGCATTCGCTCGCCAGCAAGCCCGCTTCTCATTTTCTTGAAGCCTGCAAGCCCGAAAACCCGAAACCCCATTATCATTCCTCAGGGCTCCTTGTTATAACTATATATGTTTATGCTATAAATAAAGAGCCCCAAACCCTATGCTACTTAGTACGGCCCTTCACACTAACCCTACACCCTCAGCCACTTAGCGAGCGGGGCAGCGCAGCCTCGCTTCGGGCTCAGGGTGGGGGAAGGTTTTAATCATCCAGTGGAGCCTCCACAACCCCTTCAGGGGTCCGGGACATCGGGCTTTTTGTGTAGTTGTGGTTTAGGGTTTAGGGTTTAGTCGTTGTTTTGCGGCCGCTTATGTCATCCTTTACTAACTTGACTATGCTTCGAGGTAAATAGAGTTTGGCATGTATGTTTTGTTAGGGCCATCTACTGCCATATGGGTAGTTCTCTAAGCAAGGGTCCCGTTGCGGGTTCCAAAACAAGGGTGCCGTATTAAGTGTAGAATTGTATAGGGCTCCTAGGGACCGTTATTTTGACAGCCACCCATCTACCGCTCCGCTTTTGGTTTAACCAATTCTATATGAAGGACCCGAAAAAAGCAACCCCCAAAAAGGAACTACAATGGAGACTATAGGTACTCTCCTCAAGGCGCCCTGTCCCTCATACCTTGAAGCTCTCAGTCGCAGTCAGTTTCTGGTCAAGGGTTTAGGGTTTAGGGTCGCGGGTTTAGGGTTGAGGGTTGAGGGTGTAGGGTTTAAGAATGGCGGCTCCAAGCCTCGTTCAATAGAAGCAGTTTGAGCCCGAGAACCCTTTCTTATGAGGAGGCTTGAGCCCTACACTCAAGAAGCACAGGTGTCATACTGTTGATGACATAAATCCCGCATTACCTTAAGGACCCTAAACCATGGGAACTATGGTATACTCCTTATTATGGGTAACCCTAATCCCTAAAACCCTAAACCCCAAACCATGTCGGATTTCTATCATCAACCGTAGTCCTTTGAGCCATGGCATAGAAAGCAGCCTGCCGGTCGCCAGTTTAGGGATTGAGGGTTTCTGGTTTAGGGTTTAGGGATTCAGGGTTTCGGGTTTAGGGTCCAAGGCATGTTGGTCAACATAAGCAGCTGTGCAGTAGAAACCGCAAGATCTGTACCTAAGCCTCCAAACCCAACTAGAAATCCCCCAAACCCTAAACCCTTAACTAAACCCGACTAGAAAAACCCCCAAAGACCCTAAACCCCCTTAGAAACCCTAAACCCCTTAGAAACCCTAAACCCCCCTATCGAAACCCTAAAGTCAAAAACCCTACAGTAGCTTGCTGAAGGAAGCTGGAGGCTCTACAGGTTCGAACCCGAGAAGCACCGCCCATCCGTGCCTGCTCCCCGTGGACCTGTAGGGTTTAGGGTTTAGGGCTTACAAGGCTTAGGGTTTAGGGGTTTAGGGTCT